CTGTGAGCCCAGTATGATGTCGGCAGTCTTTTTCATGCGATGTCTGCTTTTGTATATCAACATGTACGGTTTGTTCGCCGAGATGATGTTATAGACCGGGATAGGCGAGCCCAGTGCGCGCCTCCTTTGGATAGTGTCTGAAAACCATAACCCCTCAAGTTGACCTAAGTCTGGTTTTCCAAGTAGTCAGTGCTTGTGCTAGCACGAAGTCCCAAGTCATCGTGGCTGAAGGTTTGAGCTTACTGGCCTTGTTCAAGAAATTGATCACCCCAGATTATACAAGATCTCACAGGAACTGTAACTAAGGTCCGCTCAGCATAATTTCATTATAACCTGTGGATAGAGCAGACATCAGTAATAAGGTTTGGCTACCCGTCTGGCAGGCGGGTAGAGTCGGAAATGTGTCATAGTTGGCCATTGTATGTAATATAAGAAGGCGTTGTTATAATATGATTGGGAGTAATCGGTATTCGTTTAGAAAACAAGTGTCGTGATTTACACTGCGTGCCAAATTATTATCGAGATAACTTTTTTCTAATATTTCAAAAACCGTCCAATCAATTCACACAAGATTTTCACACAATGTTGGAAACACTGACCCGCGTAATCACTGAAATTTCTGTACTGATCTGCGCAATGTAAACAAACTGACGCCATATTTGTTATCAGCACGGTGATTTGAGCGTGACAAACAAATATGGCGCCAATTTGTTTACACTGCGCAGATCAGTATGAAAATTTCAGTGATTGCGCAGGTCAGTGTTGCCAACATTGCGTGAATTGATTGGACGGTTTTTGAAATATTAGAAAAAAGTTATCTCGATAATAATTTGGCACGCAGTATATTTATATTAACTTCAAGGTATTATTAATCGCAGTTATTTTTTCTTCTTCTTATAGATAAAAGTTAATTCACTTAGGTGTCTAGTGAGGATCTTAATAACTGAGGGTCGGAATTTTTCTCAATAAACGGCGTCTTAATAAAAGGAAGACTTAATAAAAGGGTGTCTTAATATAAAATGGGTTTTAATAAAAGGGGATCTTAATAAAAATGGGTCTTAATAAAAGGCGGACGTAAAATCATTTATACGGTCAAAAAGTGCGAAATTAATAAACTTAGTGGTTTTATAAAGGCGGGAGTGGTCGGAAAATTTCCTTAAGAAATAAATGATTAAACGACTTCCTCGTCTCTTACGCACGTAAGAATGTGTGTTAAAATGAAAGAATAAATCTGTAAATCACATAAAGTAGGACAAAAACTACAACGAAACGATGTATGGAATTAAAAAGTCAGTCAAAATGTAAAACGTTAAAACATAGTTATTGATTCAAGGTTTTTTTTAATTAAATTGAAATCGGAATGAAAACTCATGACAGATGAAACATTGTGCAAAAATGTTTATGATAATTCTTATATGAAAACAAATCAGGTTATTTACAAAATATTAGACACTGGCCCTCAGGCTGTCATATAAAATAACCTGTTTGAATAGGTAAGGTGATATATAGGTATGACAGCTTAGACAACAACCGTGTCTTAAAGGCCCTCAGAGTAATATTCAAATAGAAACATTTGTTTTGGGGAAAAACGGTTGGTCTCGTCGTTATTTGAGTGCACACTTCTCAAAGCTGAAAAGATGCAATAAAAGACGGCCGTAAAATCATTTATACGGCCAAAAAGTGATAAATTAATAATGTTCTGAATGGGTGGGGAAATTTCCTACAAAAATATTTGCATCGAAAAGATTACGTGTTAAAATGAAGAATAAATCAGTAAATAGAATCAAGTGGAACAAAAGCTACGGCCGAAGCGATGTCTGTTAAAAAATAAGACGTTAAGACAAAAACAGTTCCAATCTCAGATGCAGGGTTCTGGAATTCAGTCTCTAGAAATTCGTATGAAAAACTCGCAGCAGATCAAACATTGCGCAAAGACAATGTTTTCGATAATTATCTGATACTAGCAGTAGAGCCCGGCGTTACCCGGGGATGTAACAGTAAGAGATAGATCAAGTATCGACCATCATAAAGACTGAAAAATAAAATTGACAAAGATTATTGTTTAAGGTTGACGGACACGCATGTCTTAATTATTTTTTTTTTTTTTTTTACGAATTGGTCAAACCCAAACTTAAACAAAAACATTGTTTTCAATCGTTATGAATCTACCGATTGAATAGAATTTTATTATAAACAAGTGTCTTGTAAATGGAATTTTTAAAGCATTCTGAATGTAAAAATAAATAAAAAAAAGTGTGCAAGACAATAAGAAACACTACCTGCAAAAAAATGTGAAGTTTTGTTGAAATCGGTTGAAAAATGTAGGAAATCCGATCCCATATATAAACGAACACACACACTCACAAACCTGGGTTTTATAATAAGTATAACTTGATATGAGTTGTCCCCCTTTCATTCTCGCGATGACTCTTAATCGTGTTTTCAAATTGATTTCGTGCAAAAACAATTGTGTTTTTCCTATTTTTGGCGCTGTCAGAACCACCGCAAGGTAATTTTACGTAGTCCTGTGAAGTTTTGTTGAAATTGGTTGAAAAATGTAGGAAATCCGATCCAATACACACACACACACACACACACACACACACACACACACACACACACACACACAGAACCTGGGTTTTATAATAAGTATGATTAAAACAAATCAGCTAATTTGCCCAACATTGAAAAGAGATATTTCTGGATCTCTGACTGTGTCATATATAAAATAACGTGTCTGAATGAGTACAGTGATTTTAGAGATACAGAAGTTACTTATCTCCCATTGGTGGAGATAGGTCACGTGGGTCGCATACAGCACCTAAACTGTAAGGTTACTTTCTTTCGACCCTCCCTCCCCAGGGTCCCGGCAGAGGCTAAATCGTCCTCCCCAGCAGCTTACAAGTCTATGGTGACCTTTCCCTTTGGGAATATATCTTTACCAGATAGAAACACCAACTCGCAGTCCTCAATTTGGGAAAACCCAAGACTCGCTGTTTCCAGTTCGTGGAATTTGTTCTCTCCTGGGATATAGTAGATGAATCCAGCCCGTTTGAATCTGGAGTCATAAACATGGCTTCTCCGGATACAGGAGTATCTCCATATATTTAAGACCGTTCTTGTTTCTCCTTACACTTTGCGTTACCGTGTAGATATATGTAATATATTATTCCCCGCATAGGGCACACTTGTATATATGCATATATAGTTTTGTGTATGTAGTATAAAAGTCCCTCTGAGACCAAAGCGGATACAAATGGGATAATAATTCTTTCTACCCCAGTTACAGCATGAAACAACCTTACACAACAAATCAATCATTTTCTCAGTGTCTTTTCCAATACACAAAATTATTGTTCATACGACATTGTCGGACGAAAGTATTTCAATAACTTTATTCGTATTTAACAATTCAATGAATAACAAAGCAATATTTATAAAACTGACACTGCCTATAATAACCGCATTTTCAGTAACTTATCGACTGTAATTTCTTCAAAAATTGTGTTTACTGAAGCTAGCATTAATAAAACATTATTGCAATGAAACGACGACAATCAATAGGGATTTAATCAAAGTGAACTTTACATAGATTTCAAAATTAAATGTCCCAGTCTATGATCTTATGAGCTAGAGAAATCCCTCTCGGTGTAGTAATACGTGAGTACCGTATTTTCTTGCGTATAATACGACTTGAGTATATAATAGGACCCCTTGTTTCTGAAGCTAAAAACAGAATAAATTACATCCGTATAATAAGAACCTGTTGTACAGCTATGTAAATTTTTATTGAAAAGTTGTACTATATTATCCATATGATTAAAATCTCAATGTTGCACATATATTTCACTAAAATATTTAATTTTTCATGATAGAAATGAACATGATGATTAGCCATTACGTGTTTCTTCTATTTTTCGTTTCAAAATTTATATACAAATTTTCGAGAAAAGGCGATGACTAGACATACCCGGTCATACATTTTAAGATGTTAATCTATCTATCTTACTTTCCTGTTTAATGTGACTTTATCAGTTTCTATATATTATTAAACTGAAAAAAATGCCTTTCCTTCAGAATGAAGAGAGAAAACTTTTTAAAAAATATTAAAATCAAGATATAAACGAACTTCATCTTGTGAACAAAACTGTTCTAATTTTAAACATGTGTCAATAAACAGGGAAATATGAAACAACCTCCATGGGACATATTGTCCCATTTTTAAAACAGAAAAAAACTCAAAAAACAAAACATGAGAGAGCTTGTGCATTTCCTTTATTAATTTAAAAAAAAAATCAATTTTAATGAATTTCCTTTGAGACAAAAGATATTCAATTACGCTGATTCTCAAAGAACAAACATTGCCGACATTTCAAATACCTTTTGTAAACAATTTTTATCAACACCTGCCTCCTTTTTGTCTTATTGTGCTGAGTGTATTTACAATTTTGCTGTTTCAAATAAGAGGTTTATTTAAACTGAGTAAAAATCTCTGAAAACATGAACTTGTGTACGACCCTCCCCTTCTCCGTTTTGCCTTGAATTTTCGTTCAAAATTATACGAGAAAATTTGGTATATGAACAAGGCTTCACTATTCCAGTTTCCGGTAAGGAGGGCTTATTCCAGGTCAAGAATTAAAGTGTAACTCTCGATAATTATTAAATTACTTGTTTTAACTATAAATACATTGCCTCGTTAGCAATATCAGTCATATAATTAAGACTAGTAGAATCGAATATTATTTGTAAATTTGGATATAGTATCTTATTTTTCTGTCTACTTTTTTTTTCTTTTTTGAGGATTACCTTTGGGTGCCTTCCTTCGTATAATAGTTAGTAAGATTCACTTACCAATTCGAGAAAGTAGGAAGGTCGGTCTTCATTTTTAGCCTTGTGCCAGACTTATACACTTCTATTTTAAGTGCCCTTGACAATCACAAAATGTAATTGACAGGATATTACTTTTTTGAGGATTTTCATAAAGTTAGCATTTAAAAATTATGATTGTTTTAGATAACTGAAAAACGTGCACCGGCTTATGTAAATGCATATTCTTTCTTGACAGTTAATGAACAAGCTGAGCGGGACTTGTTTTTACATACAACCCGATGACACACTTGCAATGGCATCATGTAGTATGCGGGAACCCCTATTGGTAACGTATCATTCACATTTTTAGCGTAAAAATGTATAGAAATTGACTTGTTTCAGGACAAGAATATTTTGGACACTTAAGTACAGAAGTCATAGCTGTATAATCCCACAGATCAGAGGAAAATTCGTGTGATTGATCATCAGAAGCGTGTTCGATCTTCACTGGATACCCCATAAATATGACCATGTGCCAAACTAAGTTTAGCTGAATGAAATAATAATCCTACAAATCATTGTATTTTGGTCTTGTGCTAGTTTAGTGATATCATTGATTTTTTTATCAATGTTTTTTCATCTTAATTCCAGTTACTTTTTATCGCAACTAACAGATAGTCATTCTTCAATTGCTAAATAAACAGCGCAAAGCATAAACAATGAAGCACCATCGGCGAGATTTGAACTTGTGTCGTTTATTCTTGGCAGTAGGTGTCGTTCAAATTTTCTCATATATTTTACACTTCCAAACGTATTAAAATTCTGATGGCAGAATGTCAGCCAAGGAATAAATGACAGCGCAATAATATGAAAGAAATATTGGGTAAAAATTATTAATGATTAACAAAGCTTCATCTAAGAAATTCGAAGACTATTAAATCTAATACGACTAGTCCCATGGGTATGACGATAAACTACATCCAGCAGCAAAGCCTCGAACCGGGAGATTGAAGGTTTTGAGGAATGTGGAACCACCTCTTAATTGCCGTTGCTCCCAGGACAACCCTGGCCCGGGGTGGTAGCACTTGTTACGGTCCCGGCTATGAGCAGATACTGAACCACAAAACAAAAACAAAACACTATGAAAGTATAAAAATACATTTTATAGTAAAAATACCAGCAATACATTTTTAGATAAAAAAATTACCAATAATATATATTAAAAGCAAAATTACCAAAATACATTTTATCATCGAATTACCAACAATACATTTTATAGCGAAATGACCAACAATACGTTTTATTTGTAGTTGAAGGCATATAATTGCGTTCAAAATATATTTAGCTGAAGTCATAAAGGTTTGGTAAAAAACAATACATATTTATGATAAAATTAGCAACAATACATTTTTAAAGTAAAATGAACAGTAATACATTTTATCTGTAATTGAAACCACAAAATTGTGTTAGATTTCGGTATTAACTAACCCATAGAGGTTGATATGCCACTAAACAAAATCAACGAACCAACATCTTAAATAAATGCTATTATATAAGGCATCCCTCTTTGAATTTAAGAAATAGACCCCTTTCTGTTTTTAGTTCCTTTTGTTTTACAGTATTACGCCTTAACAAAAACTGGAGAAATTCGAATTGATATGAGGTGTTTGGCTGCCTATGACAAAATTATTGTCATTACCTGCAGCGGAAATAGGGGCATTGAGGAATGGACAGTGCACCAGGTTAGTTGTTCCTTTCTATTTGTCTCTAATGTAAATGCAATTTTGATTACTGCTGATTTTAAATCACGCCATGCTGTAAACATATAACCGCGACCCCCGGACAGCTTTACACCGACTAAGACAGTTTCACCCCTCGACGTGTTTTGATTCCCGTTTGCACCAACGAAAGAATTGGGAAAAACCCAAATTACGTTTAACAAATTACGCCACATCGAGGAAAGAAAACACGAATCCCGCTTCCAATATATATATATATATATATATATATATATATATATATATATATAAGAGGCCAGATCTTCTCTTCAGCCAATAAGAATTCCGATTGCCTTTGATTCTACATCTTTCTTACCATCTCTTTCCCGTAACTCTCGCAGCTGACTTCCTTCTACCGTCCCTATGTCCATCTCTGCATCACGACGCACGGCTTTCTGGTTATGGCTCTCATCTCTACACCAACCAGCGGCTCATCATCCTCTAACGGTCGGCTCATAACTCCCTGACGGCCAGCTTCCTTCTGACTTGCTCAAACCCCGACTTTGCCTATATAAATTCACAGCCGGATTTCACTACCTTCCGATCAAGTGTTACTTGATCCTGGAAATATTCTTTTTATTTATTTACTTTATATTCTCTCTACTGCCGGTGGTTTCAAGTCCAAGTTCTACTTTATTATGTGGGTGTCCCGATTACAAACAGGTCGCATTATGTTACATTTGTGACCAATTAAATTCTCTCGAAAAACCGACAACGTATTTACTGATTTGTTCTGTAATCATCTACCATTTTTCAGACAATCTCCAAATTTAATTGTCCTAGAACTTTTATCATTCTCCGCTTAAACCTATCTAGGTGATTTTCACAATCCTCCGAGGAATCGAAATTTTTATCAGTAAGAGAATTCATTAAAAACTAAAATAAATGGTAATCCGTTGATGCAATATATTTTTGTCCGCTTGCCAAATAAACACATGGTCCAACTTTATTGTGATGGAACATCATACTAATTCTCTTAAATTCTTGATGATTTTCCCTAATACTGCTTCCATATAGTCTAATTGAAAAAACTTTTTCGAACAAATCGTATATTTCTAAAAATGAGTTCATATTCCCACTGTATTCGCAAAATCATATTTTCGGGATGAAGACAGTTTTTTTTTATGATTAGTGGTGTTTCATTTCACTTGCCACCCGATAACTTGCATTCTACAACGTTGTAAAGTATTCACTTTTCATTGCCCCTCTCAATTCCTTCCGTTACTTTTAAGTATCAAATTTCGCAGTGGTGTAAGGACTTGATTTGGATATTTTGAGTATATTGACCCTGTGTCTACACTGCACTGTATAACGTTAATTATTTTCAAGTAATGTTTTGATTATTGTTAACAACTTGTTAGTCTACTCAAGCATGGTTCATCTCGCAAAATATTTTGACATGTTTGATCATTCATTGTATCTTTTCTGTACCCCGCTTAAAATCGCATTTTACCTTTCTTAAAAGAAAAATAATAATTTTCATTTTCTTTTATTTTCATGTTATAACATAAACCAATATTTTGCAATTTTTTTTAAATACACACGATGACAGTTGTCATTATTCAATCAAAAGTGATCTTTTTTAAAGAAGTTACTTGAAACTAAATCCTCCCAATAAAGGTTTAGAAAGGAACACTCAAAAGTGGACTTGAGAAACGTATTTCCCTGACAAAAATGTTTTACAAGAAAGATTTTGTAAATTTCAACCGACAGTAGTACTGGTTGTTCGCTCAAGAAATGCCGAATGTTTCCTTATAAGGAAACAGTTAATATTACCATTACCATCTCTGTATCGGCATTGAATATTGTTGCCATATTTGGTCTGGTGCCCCTGATGTTCATCTCGAGGTTCTTGACAAAATCCAAAGAAGGATATGCGATGTAATCCATCCTGATTTGGTATCTCGACTTCAGTCACTTTCTCACCGACGTGACGTGGCTTCCCTCTGTCTTTTCTATTTTCATTGAAACTACTTTGACGAGCTTTTTTTCCCTAGTGCCCCTAGTACATGAATTTAAGCGTGCTATTAGATTGACATCTAGGTCCCACACTTTTATCATTGAAATAGTTAAATGTAACCACCACTTCTACTCCAACAGTTTCTTTTCTTGCACTTCCCGCCTGTGGAATTCCCTTCCGTTTACTTGCTTCCCTGATAAATACAATCTTCAAAAATTTAAATGCAACGTCAGTCGCCATCTTCTGTTGTCTTGAATCCCGTTCACCTTTTATCTTCTCAATCCCCCCTTATACCCAGTATTTTCTCTCACTTTCACTCTCTATAACCCCCTGTGTACTACTGACATTCCCGCCTTGCTTGGGAGTGAAATGATTAACACACACACACACGCACGCACACACACACACACACAAAAAAATACAAATACAAACGAAACCAATACGTTGGTCTTGAAAGCTTTCTTATTTTAAATAATTTTAAAGCATGCACACACTGAAGCTACTTTTTCAAATGTTATTTTAATAAATCTGAAAAGAAAACGCATCCTTGTCGTACGCCCCTTTTTATTTTTTGTATAGCTACACAATTCATGTTCTATCCGTATTCAGGCGTTTAGTTTCCAGTATAAATTCTGGATTATTCTAATATCTTTTCAAAATAGATCGAGTTTGCCTAGCAGTTCAAATAGATCCTCTCTGCCGTACCTTATCAAATGCTTTTGTGTAATCTATAAAACACATGTGCACATCCTTCTGCATTTGTATTGATCTCACTGATATTCTGATCATTAATATAGGATTTTTGGTTCCATTTTCTTTGATACTTTTGGTAAAAGAATGTGTGGGTTGAACAATGAAAGTATTCTATGACGCGAATGTCTCCTTTGCTATTTTGAGATAAAATACTTTGTAGAAAGAAGATAAACGTTTATCTGAAAACTATTTTTCATGATATTTCATCAGAAATTATCTAGATTAGACAATTTTAAAAATATACTCTACGATTGTTGAAAAGTTCTCGGCTCAGTTAAGAAAATATGACCAAATATCAGAATTGTTTTTTAATCTATTCGAGTTCACCCAATACAATGCCCAAGAGTGACTCAAGTTCGAGCGTTACTGTACGGCATTGTATTAACGTAAATCAAAAAGTGAAGTTCATGAGGTTATGCAGGAAAGATAATATTTGACTCTAGACTTGAAGAATTGTAGTGATCGGGAAAACACCATGCTGAGAGTCTGTTCCACTAAGTAGAAATTCTTGGGATGAAATTGCCTAAGTCGAACTTATTACTCGAATACGAATGGATATTTTAAAATTGGCAAAATATTTATTAATTAAGCTTGAGATTAATAAATCTAATTTTGGGAGAATTCTGAAACCTGTTATTTCATAACAGATATGATCAATTCTTGTTCGCTTACTAGTCTTTCAGTGAACCTTTGACCAGGGTGTTTGTTCGTTCGTTTGTTATACAAGCAAAACTGAAATTCTCAAACTTAATTAATTACTCATATATATATATTTTTTTTTTTTGGATATTTATTCGAGTATATAATATTACAAAAATGCTTAGCGATATTGACATCTAAAAGAAAAAAAAATGGAGGCTAAGTTTGTTTACATGCGTCAAGAGTAGCAGATAGCTCCCCCTGTCTTTTTCATGCGGCCGACAACTACAATTTATACGCATAGATAAAAAAAATGTAAAACAACATTCTCTCACATGTTGACGCATTTTCTGTTTATCCTAAACTCCATTCTGTGGTACTGTAAAAAAAATACGCAAAATAGGGTTCACAGGTTCGAATCCTGTCGGAGGGCGCAATGTTTTTATAAAAAGAATTCTCGGATATTCTGGCCGGTAGATGTAAATAAATATACTGTTTAATAAATAAAATAAAAACAGAACATTTACTCAAATATGAATATCCATTTTAAAAATAATGTTTAAACAAATAAATTATATTGATTAGGACTTTGAATAAGTTCTCGCTAAAAAGTAATGTTTTGTTTACAAAAATTAGTAAGCATCATGTCACTAAAAGTATTGTCCATCGTTACCACTACTTTTTCCATCTCTCTGGCAGCATTTGAATTCCACGTCGGAAAAACACCACGTCTTTTGAGGTTAACCGAAATTCGACCAAATTTTTGGCATCTTCATAAGAATGAAAATGCTGCTAAGCCATACCATATGTCATCGATCGGAAGAAATAATAATGAGACGGGACAATATCTGGTGAATACGGCGTGTGGGGTAGGACTTCCCATTTAAGCGTTTCCACGTAGGTTTTCACCCGTTTTACAACATGTGGCCTAACGTTGCCATGTTGCAAAATCACTTTGTCGTGTCTCTGTTCATATAGCGACAGTTTTTTCTCAAATACTCTGCTCAAACGCATCAATTGCAGTCATTATTGGGCTCCCGTGATGGTTTCGGTCGGTTTGAGTAGCTCATAATAAACTACACCCAGCTGATCCCACCAAATGGATAAAGTAGAAGCTTCGAACTATGTATATTCGGCTTTGCCGCTCAGGTTGATGCATGATCGGGCTTACGCCCACGAACTTCTACGCTTAGGGTTATTGTAGTGTATCCACTTTTTATCGCTGATCACGTTACGATGCAAAAAACGTTTCCTTTTCTGCCGTTGAAGCAGCTGTTCACACGTGACAAGACCCCGTTCGCGGTCTCTCGGTTTCAACTCGTACGGCACCCAATGTCCATGCCTTTGAGTCATTCCCAATGCTTTCAAACGTTTCGAAACTGTTGTGTGATCAACTCCTAATGATTCTGAAAGTTCAACTTGTGCCTGACATGAGTCTTCATAAAGTAATGGCTCCAGTTCTTTGTTTTCAGACATTTTCGGTGCGCCAGTCGTTTTTTTTTTTTAAGCATCTAAACTAATCTCTGCGTGTTGTTTCCGACAGAGCATGGTCGCCGTAAGTCTCAACAAGAATTCTGTGTGGTTCAGCTCCAGATTTCTTTTGAATAAAGTAGTGCAGTAAAATTCCCCGAAAATACACTTTCTTTGGCACGAAATCCGACATGTTTAAAGCTATGAAAAACAAAGTTGTATACACTTCGGCGAAATGACATACACTGAATTTCAAGCTAGCTTATAGTACTTCCTTATAGAGGTGTTACCATCTGAAACCACACGCACGCAGTTCTGGGAACGCCATTTGTTGGAAAACAGCGAGAACTTATTCAAGCTCCTAATATATATATGACAATGCATCAATATATATATATATATATATTGTATGGCTCAGAGTCGTGGACTCCATACAGGTACCATATACGCCATCTAGATGTTTTCCATAAAAGCTGTTTGCGTGCAATCTGTGGAGTTAAGCTTCAAGATAGGACATCTAACATAGACCTGTTTAACAGGTGTAATATTGGAGGAATCGAGACTTTTATCATACAGTCTCAGTTACGGTGGACTGGTCATGTCTTGAGAATGTCTTATGACAGGATACCCAAGATCCTAATGTACAGCCAATTAGATCAGGGCTACAGGAATGTAGGACGCCCATGGCTAAGATACAAAGACAAGCAGAAAAGCAACTAGTCAGCAGTCAATATACCACATAACACCCTTGAGCGCTTAGCCTTAGAGCGGGTAGAATGGAGATCAACGTGTTTTAGTGGACTCAGCAATTTTCAATCTGCTTGTCTGAATCATCTTCAAGAAGCGAGAGCATGATCTAAAAGGTCAGCCAATCTAACAGTGATCTCATCTCACAATCCTCACACTTGCTCCATATATGGCCTCTTTTGTAAATCACTAGCGGGTCTTAAATGCCACTTAAGATTATTGCGCAAAATTTCAGAACTGAATCAATAAGCTGTCAGATCCTCATACGTCAAAACCGACGGAGAGTCCATTTATATATATATATATATATATATATATATATATATATATATATATATAATGTATATCAAAATGCGTTGGTTGTCAACCGTAACGAGACTGACTACAATTTTAACATAAAAAATGTTACTCTGATGAAAGGCGAAAACAATTCACTACAACGAAAATGTTTAAAGTGTGCTTTGATCGTAAATTTTTTTCGCCCGGGCTCTTACACCACTTCACCGTTCACCGTTCCTAGCAGAACTTTTATCACAGTGTGGGATACCTACTAACAAAAGAAAACATGCACACAAGCAAACGTACTTTGAATGAAATTGAAAAGGACATCTGCGTCGCGAGGGCTGAATTTCCCTGTCAGGCAACAACTCCTGGGTAACAGGAAAATAGTATAAGCTGAAATGTGAGGCCATTTGAAGTTAAAAAAAATCCACTCTTTCTGTATTTAAACTGAGTATATTTTTAATAAATTTATTATTTGGAACAGATAAGCTGCTTAAATTTGAAATTGATCACCTTTCTGTGAGCGAAACGGCAGTACCCGAACCAGTTTATATTAATATAAAACTAATCTCTATATTTTTTTTCTTTTCCAGACGGGGCACATATTACACTTGAGCTCCAACCGTTGTTTGGATTTGAATCAAGATGGTAAAGTTATATTGAACAAATGTATCAACACACCGAGCCAAATGTGGAGTTTTCTAAGATTAGAAAAACCCCAAAAGAAGTGAAAAAAAAAGGAAACAAAAAAATGAATTGTTTGACATTCGAAATCTAATCATTTCACTTAATCTCTTACCATAAAAGTCTTTATCATTGACTCGTAAGCGGGGAGAATGCATGTGTCAGGGAGAACGTTTCGATGGGGGAGAATCAGAGGGAATGAACGCTTGTGTGAGTTAAAATATATCAAGATTTATTTAAATAACACGTCAGTTAACTCTTCGATAACATCATCGGTCATCTTCCGAGTGTATGGTCAGGTGAATGTGGACAAAAATAGGACGAACGTGAATAATGAAAAATAAAAACAGAACTTGCGTTTTCTATAATCATGAATAAATACACACACACACACACACACACACACATATATATATATATATATATATATATATATATATACATTCTCTACAATATAATTTGGTCTTTTATTCGAAATCATGCAATAGGTACATATGTTTATATATCTATATATTAAATATATGTTCAGGTAATCTATTAACAAAATGGAAAAAATCTTATATTATGCGTTTCGTCCCTCTAAAGGACTTCATCAATGTTTTTATTGATGTGAACGCACGTATTTAGGGAAAAGGAACGAATTACAACAAACTTCGTTTATAATTACACATTGAGAGAAACGCCGGGGATTCAAGAATGCTTCACTTGAAATTTTAAATTTCTGGCATCTCTCGTTTCTGACGTGTCTAGGTGTACAGCGTAGCCGATCTCAGTCAACTCCCAACCGCTTTTATTTTGTTTTGTTTTTATTACTGTTTATCATTGTTTTTAAATATCCCACAGGGAATTACCAAACATTATTTCGATATATAGAAGTTTATCAAATCTGAACCTTCGTGTCCGAAAAAAAAAAAAGAAAAAAAAAGAAAAAAAAAATCTCAAAAGAACGGTTTTTCTCTTGACACCGCTATTATTTTAAATACCTTCACTCCTCAGCAAAATTTATTGTTTTAAAAAGCGATTATTAGAATTGTAATAAAACCTAAAGATATGAAAGTGAATTTATAAATTTACTTTGTTCTTGACAATTGACAACAAATTAATAAACTCAATTTATTTATTAGATTGTTTACTGGAATAACTGGAAGACATCTTAAAATTAGAAATAACGATTTACTTATAGCTGGTTCCCATATTTTACTAATTTAGTAAATGTATATAAATTTATGAGTAAAAATTGCTTTCATATTTATTTCTTTGTAAATTGGTAAATGATAAATATTGTATTGCATTAGTTTTAATTGTATTTTTTGAACGTTGTGAATATAAAATTATTCTCGTAAATAAACGAAATAAATACTGTTTAATATTTTTGCTGTAAATTCTCTAGAACAAAAAGATGTATCGACTCACTTTCATATGTTTAGGTTTTCTTACAATTCTAATGATCGCTTTTAAAGCAATAAACATTGCTGAGGGAGTGAAGTGTAGTTAAAATAATAGCGGTATGAACAGAAAAACCGTCTGCTTTTTATGCGGGCGCGAAAATCCAAGTGTACCAGAGTTTTTATATCATATTCTCTAACAGATGCATAAATGTACGTGAATGTATTGATGAAAGTAATTATGCTTACATTTTTTCTTTTTTTCCTTAAAGAAAATTATTCTTGCTTATGAAAAAAAAAAAAAAACAAAGAATAATTTCTCTTTCTTGGAACTAAAAACAAAACTGAAGAAGAATTCACTTGCCAAGTTAAAAAGCATGTCGGGAGGGCGCTTGTCGTGGAGTAATGAGTAATGAAGATCGTCTTCCAAAGCATTACTATTGAGTCGCGGGTTCGAGCCACACTGAGTATCTCATTACCAAATTAGTTTGCTAACTAAAACTTAAATACCTTTGATGTGTGTGCATGTTATAGAATCATTCATTTTTTTTATATGAACACACACACACACACACACACACACACACACACACACACATATATATATATATATATATATATATATATATATATATATATATATATAATTAGGATCAAATATGGATTATAATACGAAAGGATGATAGGATAAAGAACAAATAGGAACCTTTTTCTCAATCTAACATGTTTCGCTTTTATTAATGATTCGTCAGAGATTGAGTTAAAAAGGACAAAAACCCCAAAAAACAGGACATAAGAATTTAGCTTATTTATATCTATCTAATACAAAGAGTACGTATATAAAAAAGTCCTATATTAATAAAATACCACCCCACTACGCCGATTGACCACACAAAAATGAAAACATAAGAGCACTTCCTATTAGACACATACACAATTACGAATACCACTGAGATATATATTAGAATTTTTACAAACTTACATATAGAATCATCTACATGGACCTGATACATAACTGTGAATCGATCCAACAAATTTGAAAATACCAAACTTCTGTTTATTGTCCGTTTTTCTCTCAATCTCTGACGAAGCTTTAATAAAAGTGAAACATGCTAGATTGATAAACGTTTACCTATTTGTTCTTTATCTTATCACACACACACACATATATGTATGTGTGTGTAATGGCATATAAGAAAACATTGTCTCTCATTTTTTAATTCTTAAAGACAATGGATAAATTGTATTAAGTTGGAATAATTTTTAAACTATTTTAAATCTGAAAGAAAAAATTCGACAAAAGGGCAACATTAAAAAGATGCCGTAAAACGATTTACGACAATACATCGCTGATATGTGCACCACTTATAAAAAGGTCGTAAAATAAGACTAAAAACTAATATTTTTTTGATGTAAATTAAACTCCTGTCCATTTTTCCTATAAGACAGGCGAAACTGTATATCGTGCAATAAGAACCATTTATTCCGAAGAAATTCACATTGGACCTGGGGAATAAATTATTTTACGGATATGTAATTTCGATTTAAAAGACATTTTAATCTAACATTTCAACTGAATATTGACTTTTACTGACAATCCTCTGGTGGTTGATTTTTTGCAAAATTTTATGTACCATCCAGAATAAAGTCCATGATTTGTTAAATAACTCGTTTTACTTTCATTTCCTTGCATCTAAAATCTAGATTATCACCAGTTGCACGTCTCGTTGTTTATCGCCGTCGTCGCCGACCATGTTTTACAATCGAAGTCGACCGGTTCTCCTCAACGAGGAGGATGGATTCTCCTTCAATGAGGAGGATGGTTTCTCCTTTATGAGGAGGATGGGTTCTCTTCTGACTGATGAAACTAACACGGAAAGGACACACTTTTCAACAAGGAGAGCATCCATAAACAGTTATTGGATAACATGTATAATTCATTTAAAGTGAAACTTCGATGTCTGTATGACTTTATGCATACACATCTGCTTAGTACAATAAATCTGATTGAAATAGTAATTAAAAATAATATGTCAAATATTGGGTATTTACACTATTTATATTCGGATTATTGTCCTCATCTTTGTTGTTGTTATCATAACGTTTTTGGCCGTTGTGCCTCCTGCTTTCATCAGGTACATATCAATCTGGGTAACCTAAAGGAAACTATGAACTGAACCCTTTATTTAATCTACGGAGTAGACTGTTCTCGTTCCACTGCACATATCTCGTCTTGTTATTTAGTTATCTATTTTTTTAGTACAATTATCGCTTGTCCTGTTTCTACTGAGTCCAAGGACACACTTCCCAACACTGGGATTGAACTCACATTTACTATGTCACCAATTCACGAACCAACGCTTTAATTCTAGGCTATAGGATAATAGCGTTGGTGACATAGTCATTGTGAGTTCAATCCCTGTGCCGGATTCATGGATTGTCGCTTTCATCGAGATAGTCTCATGTGGCCGAAATACTGGAAAGCAAAATCGAAGTCAAGCTTGCCGAGTCGACACCACGAATAAGGATTGAATCTCGGATGGTGGCTATAGGAGTTGATTATCCATGGATTATTGCCATCTAGTGGTCAGGGGTTCAATCCTTGGATCAGGTAGTGAAACATTAATTCAATAGGAACGAACAATAACTGTCACATGGACAAAATAGCACGATAATCAACAGATATCCCTTATCTGCTAATCAATGGATACCTGATGATGGCCAAAAAGTAATTAGTCGAAATGTTGCGTCTATAATAACATCTATATCAACCAAGATGAAAACAATAATTCGGAATAATAGCCGTTTCACTATAACATTTGATCAATACCAAGCAGTCAGTTCTGCTGTTGGTCGAAATTTATAAAATCTTTCTCTGAAAACAAATTTTCAGGAAAATTGGTTTCTCAAGTCCAGTCGCAGTTATTGCTCTTTCCAGTATTGATGGGGGTTTCCTTCCTAACCTTTTGTTTGAACTAGTGTAGAATATCAATATATTGATTATGTCATTATTTTCTCTTAGAGTTACATATGATATCCATTTTTGTTATTCCTCAAGGAATACGATTTCTGTTATTTGGTAATGTTCTTTGTGATTCTGTAGAACCGGTCGTCGAGATTCTAAGAATGATGGTTCTCACTGAGGCCTACATGCTTCACTCGCTCGAAGCCATTTTAGCCATCGATCTAAGAAAGCAATTGTATATAGCTGACAGTTTAGTTATTTCGTTTGGGCTGCTTATTGCAAAAACATAAAGATATGCTGAAACCAACAAGAATACCAATCCACACGAAAATGAATATATATCCTTTATGAGAGAAAGTGGAAAAGCTATAAACGACTCGTGTCACCAAGAGTTTCTGATCCTTCTTGTTTCTGCAGGTCGGGCTTCTTTCTGGTCCCCAATTATCCTCAGAGATGCCAACGCATTTTTCCTTACATACAGTTTTGTCTTTCTTTCATTGCAACCTGAAGAATCCAAACGGAGAAGATGCTCTCGGCAAAACGCGTCGTTTTTGTCTCATATTTACTGTTGTTTCATACATCCTAGATAAACATAGTTTTTATACATTCTTCCAGTTGTTTTATATTGTTTATATTGTGTGACATGATTTTAGAAACTTTCAGCTCAAATTTCAAAACCCTGTGATGCGTATTATCA